AACCGCCTATGACGGAACGGCTATCGTAACGAGGCAACCAAGCTTCCATGAGTGGTCGTCGTACGTTGCCAAGGCTGATAGAGTAGCCGAGGGGCAAGATTTCTGGAGAAAATTATTGAATGGTTCCATGTCTCACTCCTTGCCACCTAGCGGCAACACGAGGCGGCAACAGCCTGTGTCGGATTCACAACACAAGCAACACCTTGCATCATTTAAGGTGCCAACCGCAAATCTTGCAAGCCCCAATGGAACTCCTGCGACAGTTTTCAAGGCCGCGTGGTCCTGTGTTCTCTCTCAGGTGCTCGAAAACCCTGACATCATCTTCGGCTTCGTGAGTGCTAACCGCTTCTCTGGCGCATTTCCTCGCGGTAGCGCGGAGCAGGTGCTGGGCCCGTGTATCAATCTGGTGCCCATGCGAGCGGTCATGGGCGATGGCACCAAGACCATGGCGACTCTCGTCGCGGAGCTGCAAGACCAGTACAACCAGTCCCTCCCGTATCAGCATGTCGGCTTCCGCTCTATCGTAAAACGATGCACGCAGTGGCAGACGAGCCGTTTCAACTCGGCTATTCTGTTCCAAAACCACGAGTCGCTGGGCGACAGCATCAAGCTGGGAGACGCCGAGTGCGCGGTTATCGGGGTTGGGCAAGGCGCAGACTCGGCTGACGTCTGGATCTCGGCGGTCCCGGGGATGGATCAGACACTCAGCATAGAATTGAGGTTTTCACCAGTCAGGGTGCCGGTGGAGCTGTGTCAATGGATCTCTAGTGGCTTCGAGAGCCTGTTGAACAATCTGTCGGGGTCGTGGGAAAGGAAAATACTTGACATCCATGAGGACATTTTGCGCGCGTCCGGGCCCAACCCGTTGTCTCCTATTCGGTACGATAGAGACACAGCCAGGACAGCGGGGGCCGATCCGGAGGATGTTGTTGATAGAGTGCTTCAGGCAAAGCATTTCGAGTACCTTTGATAGGTGTGTAGCATACCGTATAAGGACTGATTCTGTGGCATCGAGGTGCCGCAAGAATCATGAAGCATCCACGACAGTTGGTCCTGATCTTACAACGGGTCATTTCAAAGTACGGAGCTGGGTGCACCCACCTTCATTAAGATCTACTTAGACTAAGCCCAGACTTCATCCAAGGTTCATATTTTTTTTACTGCAGCTTTATCCCTTGCAAACCGAGAGGCTGCTGCTGGGGTACATAGACGAAAAAATAATTAAAGACACATCAACTCCTGAGCAGTTATATAAATACTGTTGCATAGACACATGGGAAGGCAAGAGAACAAGGGAAAACGAGTGGAAGTTCATGCATTGTTATTCTGTAATGCAGGCATAGTCTGGGTATTCTAGTGATTGGGGGAATAAAGATCAGGTACATTATGACAATATTGAATTAGTCAATATATATATATCAGTGTCTTTGGAATCTGCAGCTGGATAACTGCTGCCAATCGAAGCCTAATCGGAGGAGATCAAATATTTGGTGTAAGGTAGACTGATGACCATTCCGATATGATTTGCCCGCGTAAGTAATTACGCATACTGCGCATGGATTTCAGAAAACAAACGTGCAATTTTGGGGAATACCGCATAGTAAAACAATCGCGTGGTGGCCAGTCGCGGTAAGAATACGAGCGCCGCCAAGATACTTCTATCCAATAATAGGCGAGAATATCGGCTGAGGAACAGCGGGCGTATTGCAGTGACGCGTCGCAACTCTCAACCAAATATTGCTGCCTAGGAGCAACTCGCGATATAATGTGGCTGCGAATGTAAAATATCCTTTGCTATTCTGTCCCCATCTCACAACCCACACATAGGAGACAACACATTCCTTCGGGACACACGCAGCTCACTCTCTGCAGTGGATTTCTCTGCCCCAAATTTTCTTTCGCAGCTCAGTTTGGACGAAAATGAGCACTGTCGAGGATCAACGCCGAGGAATGGCCCAAGCCGAGGCCGCCGGTCTCGAGCTCCTCGGGCCTTGTCCGCCTCATCTAGGCGAAGCTTGGATCGACATTTCACTGCCAGATGGACAGGTGAACCGCACCAAGATCGTTTGGCCAAAGCCCATCGAAGGCCAGTCTTCGCCTCTGCAAGCTTCGCTTGTCGTATACTTTCACGGGGGCGGTTTCGCCGTCGGCAGCCCAGACATCGTCCTTGCACCCGCCCGAGGCTTCGCGTCGATATTTCCAACTGTCGTCGCCTGCCCGTCCCTCAATCAACTACCTGAGCAGCCATTCCCAGCGCCCGTACAGATTGCCTGTGAAGTCTGCGCTTGGCTTTCTGATGCGAAGCACTTGAACGGCGGAATACTGGAAGCAGAGGATGTCAAGGTTGACCTGCAGCGTGGCTTTGTCATTGGCGGTCTCAGCGCCGGCGGTGGTGCCGCAGCGAGTATCGGTGGGATATCGGCGGCGATCTCGGCCGGGTTGGATGGCTTCGATGGTCTCAGCCCGCTGAGAAGTCCCATCACGGGGATCTTCTCGGGCACCCCGATGCTCGCCACCAAGACTATGCTGCCGCCGCGTTTTAGAGAGATGTTCAGGTCCCGGGAGGAGAACGGCGACGGTAACGGCCAGACGAGTGCGATGGTCCGAGAACTTGAGGAGCTCCTCGGTACTGCCGTCAACACACCATGGTTCTCGCCGATTCACTTGGACTCATCAAACCCGGGAATTGTGAAGAACCATCCGCCCAAGGTCTTTACCTACTACACGACACTTGATCCCTTCCGCGACGACTGCCTGATCTACAACAAATGGCTTTCGGAATTGCAGGGTGTCGAGTCTCGAACTTCGGCGGTCGAGAATGAGAGCCATACAGCGTGGGTGTCACTGCCGCGGCCAGAGTGCCATAGTCGGAGGATTAAGGAGGTAACGCTCGACGGTATTTCCTGGCTGCTCGGTCTCGATTGGGACAGGGAGAGATCCGATTTGCCTACTTAAATCATTCTTCTACTTACTGTAGTTATTGAGTCAAGGCTATGAGTTTATCTTGCTTACAGAGGTGGGAAAATTTGCTGTCAGTTTGGGAGCTTCTTTCAAAACACCCAAACATTGTCGTCTTTAAACACTCAGGCAGTAGGCGAAAAAAATGGAATTAAGCTTGACTCTGCCGCGTCATGTAATGACATCCAGGTTTTCTTGGTGATGAGCGTTATGCGGGGGCTACGCAACGACAGCAGATGACTCATAATGAGCAATTTCAGAATTCAAACAAGTGATTTAACAGCGTGACTGCAAAGACCTCATATAATTGTTAAATCGTGCCGCTGTATAAATGACCCGCGGTTAGTGAGATGCAAATGGATGTGCTTCTTCAAGATAATTTCTGCCCTTTATTGACGTGCCCATCATGACCACCTCCGTCGTCTCTGTCGTCGAGCTATACAACCCCGAGGCCGAGTCAAGACTTGGATCTCGGATGCTTCTCGGACCTATCGACCACATGGTCTTTCCCACTGTTCCGACAAACGTAGTTCTCGTCTACGAACGGCCCATAAGTAGCCCCTTGGAGACCTTCATGACAGCACAAGCACTACAACTTTCACTCACACGTCTTCTCACGCACTATCCCCATCTCACCGGTCGGTTTCAGCTCAACAAAAGCTCCAACACATTCGAGATTGGAAACTTCTCAAAAGGCGTTGTCTTCTGGCAGGCAAAATGCGATGCGATCCTGAGCGACATCGCTGCGCAGAGCAGATCGGGTCGCATAATCGTTGAGAACCTGCCGGGCTGTGGCAACGCTTTGATGCCGCCGTTTGAGGCCACAATTGAAGGCATCTGCAGGGACCCCATCCTCGCAGTCCAACATACTCGCTTCGCGTGCGGTGGAGTTGCTCTGGGGATCCGCCTACACCATATGGTTTGCGATGCAGGCGGCTTCTTTCAATTTGTGCGAGACTGGACGACAATTCACCGACCCTCGTCTCTGCCATCGCCGCCGAATCTCAGTTACTACCTATCAGCGCCCGATGCCATGTCTGTGGAAGAAAAGCGTGCCGCTCTCGATGGCAACCCCTTGTTCAGGTACGCCCAAGATCAGAAGCCGGAGCCGGTCCCTGTCGACGCGCCGAGTACTATTTCAGCAGATGGGGACCCTATCGTCGGTCACACCTTGCACTTCTCCAGTGAACACCTTACATTACTCAAGAAAAAGGGAACGGATCCCTCTGGGCAGGGCTGGGTCTCCGCCTTTGAGTCAATGTCAGCGTACCTCTGCCAGACCATCTACAAAGCTCGTCTCCGTCTGCTCGAAGCATAGGGCGTGTCATCGTCATCAGCCGCTTCTCAGTTACGGCAGGGCTTTTGGGGTTCGATCGACACTCGTGATCCTTCGAGGCTCGGTCTGGGTTCTCGATACTTTGGCAATGCGTCACTCTCCATCCTCACCCGCATCGATCATTCAATACTTGCAGATGGCGAGCTCTGGCAGGTGGCCGAAGTAATCCATAACTTGGTGAGGTCGATGAACAAGACGAACATGGAAAATATCACGAAGTGGTTTGCGGCGCAGCCAGACAAGAGCCGCCTCAAGATGGACTTCGATTTCGGCACTGGGAACTTTGTTGTGAGCCAGTGGTCCAGACACGAGGTGTATTCCGGGGTGGACTTTGAGACAGACGTGGATGGATTCCCGGTCGGTCCGGCTCTCGTTGCTCCTCCTTTCACAGAGGTGTCTTTGATGGGTGGGCTGGCGCTGATGGTATCATCTCCACCTAAAGAGGCTCGTGAGAGTAACGAAAATAAGGCTCCTTCGACATCTGGGGTCCCCCGAGCCATTGATGCAACCTTTTCAGTGTCTGAGCCGGTATGGAAACTCCTGGTAGAAGAAGAGGCGTTTCGAAAATATATGTGCTAGAGACATGATACCCTGCGGAGCTTAACTCGGCTGAATCTGCACCTTCAAAAAAAAATCAAATCATTCATGTATCCACATCGACCTAGCGCTCTACATACAAACTTGGTGTACAACCTCTTCACGTCCCTTAGCAGTCGGCAATTTGGTTAACTTTACCCTGGTTATCCGCACAGCCCTTGTCGTATCTCGTCTTGTACTCTGGCTGGGAAATACAACACTGTCCTCTCGTTAGGAACTGTCGAGAAAGAAAGAGAATGTTATCAAAAACTTACAACTCCATTTTGGCCTGGCAAGGGTGTTCCGAAGGCGTCATTGCAGAGATTGTTTGATGGGTTGATTTGGCCGTTGGGCATGATGCAAGTGTAGCCTTTGTACACACCGGCAAGGACAATGCTACAGACCAACCAACAAGTTAGCAACATCTGCAGATAATCATCGTAAGGGGCTCGAAAGCAAAACTTACGCAGTTTGCGCCAGAGCAACGGCAATCAGAGTTGACTTCATTGTGTGGACTGGTAATGATCGAATACAAATTCAGAAGCGGGTGGTTTACCGTAGAGCCAGTCAGAACATTGGATTTCTTAGAAGTTCGTCCGAAGCACACAGGAACGGCAGCGGACGGGATTTGTACTCCGTCGTCGGATTTTGTACTCCGTGCAGGGGATTTTTACGAGTCATATCGTTGTGCAGGCTGTTGGTGGTTGACGACCGAAATTATTTCCTAATGTGATGAAAAGAGGATATTATCAAAATAAGGTTCTCTCGACAATTTATGCGAGGGGGCGGTCGCTCCGGTCTCAAGTCCTTTCTGATACGCCAGTTAAGCGGGTGATTAACGGGATCGGCGCGCATTTCGGCACCCCGATTGAGTCCGGGTTACTCCGCTGGAGCGGCCCCTTCGCGATAGTTCAGGCTTTGGGACCAAGCAGGGTCTCCGTCGACTGTGGAGGCTTGTTCCAAGACGTTATTCCCTTCCTTTTGCCGGGTATAAGGCGCAGGTTCAATACGACGTATGGAAAATGCACCGTGACTGACACGATCGGGTCCGAAAATAGCTGTTTGGCAAAGGCGAAGGTGTTTTGGCCACACGTATGCTGGTAGTGCAAAGATAACAGATGTCTGGTTTAAGGTACACACGCAACGATCTCATAAAGTTGAAGCTGCAAAACCTCGGCGCGTATTGGGCCCTAGTTCCGAAATAGTTCGTACAACTCAGGGGTCGACGTGGAAAGAAACAACGGCACCAGGCTATCGCAAAGCTGCCTATCCATGTCGCACTTGCGGGCGGCATTGCCTTGAATCTGACGTCACGAGGAGCCTTTTTAAAGCACCAAATTAATACGAACAGCTCTGGAAAGCACGGGCAATTCTTTGACCCCTCTAACTTCTACGATCGATCTACCGGATGGCGACTGGGGGCGTATGACGTCGATTTTATTCTCGAACGCGAACCTGCATTTTCAGAAGCAATAAAAGTCAAGATAAGCGATGCTCCGTTTGCAATTCACTGCTGTAGTTACGAGGCCGGAGGTGTGGGATAAGCAGGAGTCGTCGGAACACACAACTCGGGTGAGATACCTCCACCCTATCCCTCGGTAAACATGGATCAAACACAAACCACTTCCATCACGTTTGCCAATCCTTGGCCTACCCAAATTGAGTCCAGTCATATGTCGTTTACAGCAACTCGCCATATTGAGGCCTGATAGGGGTCCAGATCCAAGGATGAGAATTCTCTAGACGAATATGTCGACGAAGTTTCATGGCCCATCCTGAAAGAAGGAGACACAGCAAGGAAACCAACCCAGTAGGACCACTTCAGCCGGTGATTCGTCCAGTAAATTGCATTGTACGTACTCAGAGGCCAGTAACGATTGCCCGCGCCGACTCCAATGGCATCCGCCGAGCGAAAGCATCTGAGGGGGGCCGAACATACATACCATTGCTGTCTAGAAGAATATATAGATACCTTTTTTAATCAGCTTTGAAGTACAGATTACGTTCACTAGAATCCCACTAGCCCAGTCACACACGTAACTCTACGTGTTGAAAATGAAGGTTCTTGTACTTATGGTTAGCAGAGATCACATTCTAGTTAAAACCCGCTAAAAGCCCGTATTCAGGGCATTCTACCATCCCTTACCTGGCAGAATGGTTCTACTTACATGAGACCGCTATTCACCACAAAGACAAAATAATACTTCCAGTCATTCGTCACCTTCCTCGCCATCTACGCACAGATCTAGCCCTTTAGCCCATCATGGTCTCCCACATGAGCCCAGGGGTTTAGCCTCCCCGCCGTTGTCAGCGCATCCCTGCTCGAAGCTCGTCGCTCTGGCCGACTCGTCAAAGCAACACTTTCGTTCGTTAGCAATCGGCTGCTCTTGCAAGCATACACAGCATGTCGACAACTTACATTCCCCGGTGATTCAGGGAGGGGTGTTCCGGCAGCTGCGACGCAGATGTTGTCCGAGGTATTGACCTTGCCGTTGATGACACACGAATACCCTTGGATGACAGCACCAAGCACAATGCTAGAGTTGAGTTCCTTCAGTAAGCTCCCGCTAACTTTATGATTGTAGGGAAGCTTTGAAAACAAGAACTCACGCGGCCTGTGCCAGGGCAATTGCAATCAGAGTGGATTTCATGGTGATGACTGAAGATAGATCGGGGCAGATATCGAAGAAAGCAGAAAGATTTGGGAATGGTGACCGGATACCTGCAGTTGAATAGTTCGTCTGCATCCCTCCGTTAAATAGAATGGGACGACATGCTTTTGAGTCAGTATCAAATGGCATATGCCAGTTGACAACCCAAACTCCCAATCCCAAAATAGTCGACCGGCCCCCCTTTATCAACTGATCCAAGTTTGAGGGTTGAACTCAAAATCGGTTGTCGTATCGCGTTATAGCGTTTGATTGGTTGTCATTGGTCCTGTCAATTAACGGGATCAGCGCAGATCTCGGCTCAGTCCGAGATCCTCGGATGGAGAGGCGCCATCGCGATAGTCAGGGCTCTATTGAAACCAGCAAGGGTCTTTGATGACCTCGGCGACCGCTCAGTCCGAGATCATGGTAGCCTTATTGCACTAGATGCAAGGCGCAAGGCGCAGACCTAACGTGGGGACATACGTTAGGTGAGACGAGGCTAAGAGCAGCAGTGCTAGGAAGGCGATTCTATAGACCTTGGATTGCTGCTCTGTACCAGTTCTCAACTGTCAAGTCTACCGCGCATCTGGAAAATAAGACTCTGCTCCACCCTGCGCAACATTACGTAGGTACTGACGTGATCAGACACGCGGTCACAGGAAAGAGGCTACTTAGGGGTCTTGATGGGTTGTAGCCCCGGGGGACAATACCTACTATGAAGGCTTGTGGCTATCAGAGACCCTATGCCACGAGAATATCGGTTTCATCAGAGTTCATAGTCCGTATATTGCGAACTTGTTGGGCTGGATGACTTTGATAGCGTCAAGTCAGTTTCAAACCCCTAGCATCTCCTGGAGGCAGATTAGCATCCAAGGATGACGTTCAAGCAAAGAGGCAAGTCGTAACAGTAGTTAAGCATTCTGACGGAACGTATTTGGGAATGGTGTCTTCAAACTAATAATTTACCCGCAGACAATGTTCATCCATATGCCGGCAGTTGCGTCTAGCTGACTACACTGGGCGTCATATTTAACAGAGGTTGAAACTCAGAAACGTGAGGTAAATAGTTGACTTTCTATAACGTTGAAACATATTATAAACTGTCTTTATGAAGAATATACACCCGTCGCTCGCTTTCCCATTACTCTTCCCCGACTACACCACTACCCAACACTCAACCCCCAATCTCCGTCTCGGCCCCTAACTTAGGCGCGAGCATAACCCATCAAAGCCGGCTCGCCAATCAACTTGGGCAGGTAGGCCAACAACCGCACACCGGCAGCCACGATCGAGCCGGCAGTAGCAACACCGTCCTCGAGGTTCAGCCCGGGGGCGATGATGTCCTTGCACACATCGTTCAGGTTGATCCGGCCAATCTGCGCGGGGCCGCTGCCATTCTGCAGAGCATCCTTGACCAGCGCCGCAGTGAGAGGGTTCAAGAGCGTCGTCGCGTGTCCGTAAACACCACCAGCGGGACGACCGGCGCAGACCTTCTGGACCTCAACATTCGTAACTCCAACCCGGCGCGCGTCAGTGATGTACGCGGAGGCGGCGGTGCCCTGCTGCGGCTCGACGACCTCGTCCAGCAGCGCAGAGTAGAACGTCGTAGTCGGGACGTACGCGTCAGCACCGCCCTTGGCGCGGAGCGTGCTCACGAAGTTGGAGGTGTACTCCTGCTGGATGACGGACGGGTCGCAGGGGGCGTTGAGCGCGCCGGCGCCGGGGGAGAGGCAGAGCACGTTGGCGAGCACGGTGCCGTGGAAGTCGGGCGAGACGGGGAGGAAGTTGGAGACGACGGCGCGGGTGGACGGCCAGAAGGTGAAGGCCCACTGGGTGTCGAGGCCGCCCTGGGACCAGGAGACGATGCTGGCGTTCTTGCCGGTGATGCCGTTGATGTAGTTGGTCGCGTAGGCGACGTACTCGGAGTTGACCTGGGCGTCGCCGAGGAGCGCGCCGGGGACGTTGAGGAGCACGGGGTCGGCGTAGGGGACGCCGGTGAGGAGCTTGAGGAGGTTGCCGCCGAAGGCCTCGTTGGCGTAGGTGCCGGTGCCGGGGACAAAAATGACGGGGGGCTTCTGGCCGTAGGTGAAGGACTTGGGGATGTAGATGGCCTGGCGGAGCTGCTGCTCGGTGAGGGAGTAGGGCGCGTCGGCGGCGTCCTTCTTGGGGTAGATGGGCTTGGCCGGGTTGAGGGGGTTGAGGTTGTTGGTCGAGTCGAGCGGGGTGAGGGGCCCGACGAGCTTGTTCACGATGGAGGTTAGGTCGGCGCTGCCGAGGCCGAGGAGGCCGCTGCCGCTGAGGAGACCGCCGCTGCTGAGGATACCCTGGAAGCCGGAGAGGAGGCCGGCGGGGACGATGCCCTGGCCGATCTGCTTCTGGATGTTGCCGTAGAAGTCGGTGGAGCCGCCAGACTTGGAGCCCCAGATGGCGCCGAGCTTGGTCTGGAGGTCGTTCGCGTTGAGGACGTTGAGGCCGGCGGTGGGGTTCGTGCCCAGGATGCCGGAGAGGGACTGGACGTAGTTGGTCGGGAGGGAGAGGAGCTGGGTGACGCCGGTGAGGGAGTCGAGGAGGCCGGCGGGCGCGGCGTCGGTGGATTGGAGAAGGATCGCGAGAAGCGCGGCTTGCTGAACCGGAGAACGCATTTTTAAATGTTTGTTCTTGTTGTTTTTAAAGAGAGAAAGACTGCAGTGAATGTTGACCGGATTAGTAGTTAGAAAAGAGAGACAGAGATAGGGAGACAAAGATGAAGTGCTAGGAAAGAGAGAGTAAGTCTTGAGATGAAGCCTGTGAGTTGGATGAAGAACCTTTCTCTCTCTCTTGACGCCGGATCAACAAGATGCTTATATTCTTCCCTCGCTCACGACAGGATTCAGGATTCCGTGTTGATGTTGATGAAGCAAAGACAAAAAAAAAAGCCGTTGCCGTGCGCCACAAACGTCTTTCGAGGAGTTGAGGGGAGCATGCGAAGGCCAAGCGCCCTCCCGCCGGCCTTCCGCAGTCTAACCCAAGCCCCTCCTCTGAACAAATCTAGCTCGACATCTTCAAAGAGTGTGCAAGCAAACGCTCTCTTGCTAGAGCCTAGCCGTGCCGATCCCCAAGCTAAGCATTCCCCATGGCAAAAAGATCTTTACGGCGCGGGGGAGCGAATGGCAACCACAGAGAGATCTTCGGTGTTATTGTACGTCGTATTGGGTCATAGAGTTCGGTAGCGTTGTGCTCGTGTTGCTGTATTGGGAGATGGCGGCTAGTCTAGCGTAGGACCAAGCCGAGGCGTCGCCTCCCGTCCAAGGGCCGCCCGTCGTTCGTTCGTTCTATTCTCGCATGGTTCTCCCCTTTTGGGGGCGCCAGCCGGAGCGTTTGTGACGTTCTGCTGCTGCTGTTGCTTCTGTGGTAGTAGACTTTGAGATGGAAAAGTCGGATTGTCCTTTTGTTGGTAAGACGTCGTTGACTCGAAGTTAAGCTTGGTCGAAGCGCCACAACCGGCCGCCAAGCAGACTTCGCGGCTAATCTTCAGGTTGAACAAAGAAACAATGAACTACCTCGGCATCAACGGCTCCCTTCTTCATCTTCCCCAACCTTGCGTTTCCCCTTTCCTCACGTCTTCCTCAACAAACGAAAAGAAGAAGAAAGAAGCTTCCCCCCGACAGCTTTTCCCTGATGCTACCTAACCCCTGAACCATCCTTGTCCCCCCAGATCAAAAAACAAAAAACCATCCGAAGCCCGCCGTCCCAGCAACCCCCAAAAGCGCCCAAGCTCCCCAGATAAGCTCACGGATATATAAACATCGCCTCACCACACGGGCTTTTTTCTTCGTTCCCTTTTGGCGTCCAGCTCGGACGAAACAAAAAGCTTGCCCCCTGTCCCCGTGAACATGGAGAGATTTTCTCCTCGCCCGGCTGGCCTCGTTTTTGACAACCAACGGCTCCGGCATTCCTTGTCTAGCCCACGGCGCGAAGACAATGCATGTTCTCAAGACTTGCCCAAACCAGCAATCTTTCTTCTTGAGAAGACTGCTTCCCGTTCGCCGGGTCCATGCTTCGGTCCGATATCAGGTGGAACGCATCGTCCGGGCCTCCGGAGCATGGCATGACAACTGATACCATTCTTTCCCACGACAGGGTCTGGCGATACGGCGAACAAAGCTATTATGTTAGCCCAAGATCCAGCAACGGCCGACCATGATCTTCGTCCAGGAAAACCACGAAGGCCTCGGAAAGATCCGAGTTCGCGCATCGGCTTGGTCAACCCAGCCTACTGGGCCTCTCGCCTCCAACCGGGCCGATTCGACGAACGACTACGCTCTCTTCTTCCCTACCCTGCGAGTTTCTCAGGTGAAGCTTCGAAGAATCCAGAAATATCTCATGTTGCCATGCCGACTGACGATCGCCGGGATCCGATCAAACACATATGATATCCAATCATGGCGAAAAGGATGTCGGGGTATCCGGACAGCCCGACACAGCTCTTCGTCGTCCCTCAATTGGCCCCTTGCCGTGGAACGCAAAACAATCAGCTTAGGAAAATTGCTCAAACGCTGCACATCTCACCTGCCCTGATTTCCAACTTCCATACGTTCAGAGGATATACCTGAAGAGAAAAAAAAGGGAGGCGAAACTCAGTTCAACAGCGAAGAGCAGCCCCCGAAGTCCTGCCCGCCATAACACGAAAGTAAGTCACAGAAATCAGGAACGAAACGGCTCGTGAACCTCAAATCATCAATCTTATCTCTCTATTCAGGGTCAGAGCCCTCATTCCCTTCACACCCGCCCCAACGCCATTGTCGTGGTACACCCGCCAGACCGTCCCAATTTTTGATCCCACCCGTGTAGCCAGCCACGCCAACCTCACACTGTTATTTTTGAACACCCAGTCCACAGTCCGTCTTTGTGTTGCCAGCTGTAAAACGCCAGGCCGCCGTCCCTCTCAAAGTAAACGAAGGGAAAAGCAAAATTGTTGAAACAAGAGGGCTTTAAAGCGCAACATGCCCTAACGAAAGAGGGGGTATTGTACTGCGACGACAGGAGCAAAGAACGAACGATGGCAGACAGGCTACAGTCACGCGCAGGAAGTGTCACAAGTACGCAAAACAGACAACGTGCAAGCAAACTGAAAAAAAGCTAGGAAATCTCTGTTGGGGGCGAGTGCCGTGTGTGGTAGACAAACAGAAGGGGCAACCGGGCCCGGGGAGCCCATCGAGACGATGATTCTCGAGACAAGCCCAGATGTCCAGAGATAACTAAAGCCGCAAAGCAAGCATGCATTGGTCGTTCTCGTGACGTCTGACAGTCGTGTCCGCTAACCGTATGCCTAAGATCAAAAGTCCAAAGAAATGTGTCATTCGCCCAGGTATCCATCGTGCAGCGTAAAAGTTCCAAGGCGGTGGGATGAACGAAAACGACGAAAGAAGTTCGAGTGTAAGCAACAAGACAGTCATGAGAGGTGTTTCGCTTTCTTTCCCGCGGCCATGAGGACGTCGAGGGTAGGGATGAGGCCGCTCTAAAGGCCCATCAGACCGTCACTCTACTGCAGCACTTGATTAGAAACGCAACGCAGCAAATCACCTTTGGGGTTCATCATACCTGAGGAGGGGCACCAGGAGGGCCCTGGGGTCCCGGGGGTCCGTGAGGGCCAGGAGCACCGAAGTGGGCAGGGCCGTAGGCACCGGGGCCGGGGGCGGGAGCGAAGTAGTGGGGCGGGGGAGGGGCAGGGCGGTAGGGAGTGCCGACGCCAGAGTTGTTCTGGCTACGGCCCCAGCTCAGACGAACGCGGGAGTTTCCGATGGGGTATCCCTGCATCTGGTTGATGGCCATCTCAGCAGCGTGGCGGTGGACGAACTGAACGAAACCGCAGCCCTTTCCGGGAGGGATCTTGACGTAGGTGATCTCGCCAAAGCCCTGGAAGAAGCTTCGGAGCTCGTCCTCAGTGACGTAGCCGGACAGGCCACCGACAAAGACGGTGGTGTTGTTGGGGTCAGTGAACTGGTTCATCTGCTGGCCAGGGGGGTTGTAGGGGGCTCCGTAAGCACCGCCGTACTGGGCAGGAGAAGGAACGCCGTAGAATCCTTGCTGGTGAGGAGGCAGACCAGGAGCCATCATCTGGTTGCCGTGGTGCTGGTAGGGACCGTGGTTGCGGTTCTTGGGGGTGGCAGTCGAGATACGCATGGGGCGGTTGCCGCAGTAAACTCCCTGCATCTCCACAAGAGCGCGCTGCTGGTCCTGCTCATCCGTGAAGCGGACGAATCCGTATCCGCGCGACTGTCCCGACATGGCATCCGTCATGATCTTAGCAGACTTGCAAGAGGGGAAGCGCGCCTGGAAGAGGGACACAAGAACGTATTCGTTGACCTCGGGGCCGAGGTCGCCGACGAAGATCGAGTACTCAGGACCGCGGTCGTCGCGACGGTCGTTGATACCGCCGCCGGACGCCCAGTTGAGCTTGAAGGCGCGGTTGGAGTTGGGAACGGGAGTTCCGTTCAATTGAAGAGCCTTGCTGGCCGCATCGCTGGACGTGAACTCGACGAAGCAGTATCCAGCGTTGCCAGACGTCTTGTCGCGGATAACCTTGACGTTAACAGGCTCTCCAGTGGCAGTGAGAAAGACGCCCTTAATGAAGTTCTCGTCCATCCAGGGCTCGAGCTCGCCCATCCAGAGAGTGTTCTTATTCGCGTCGCCCTGGATGGGAGCCTGACCACCGGGGATCTCTCCAGATCCGTTGTTGCCGGGGAAGGGCATGCCACCAGAGACCGGGGTGCCGAAGCCGTCGCCGTTGGCGTTGGGGGGAGGGGCACCGTTGCCCTGAGCGGGGTTGTACGCGAGACCGTCCATGGTGAAGTCGTTCGAGACTGGAAGCAAAAAGGTCAGTCAAAGCTGTCCGTGTCGCCCTTAGCTGCGGGTTGGCTGACCTACAGTTCGTGGATTGGAATGATAAGTCGTTACGAGGAATTCAAGCAGTGTTGCCGTCTTCCTTCAATAGATTGGGGTAGTTTTGAGAATCGAACAGAATGAACTGTATTCAGACGCAAAACCGATACTCCGAAAAGCACTTTGTGAAAAGTCGATTCTCTCAGACGCCAGCACGCCCCGTAGAAAAACGAAAGATCGAGATGTCTCGGGGTATTCGTGCCAAAAATGCTACAGCCGCCGATTAAGAACAAGCCCGAGCGATGCTTCGAATTCGACTTTTGGATCTCCTAGACTTGCGCCGGGTACCGGAAACCAAGAGATGCCGTGGCTAAACGTAACCTTTCACCGAAGATCCAGAAATGGGCCAAAGGAAGGATCCGAAATGGGAACCTGCGATTACGGTCAGCATCACCTGTCGGTCGTGTGTAGTCAGCGCGTCGCGGGCAGTCAGTCGGCAGTCGCAGTCGCATTCGATAGTCATGAGCCACGGGAATTGGCAGGCTCGGGTCGGGTGTTCAGCCACAGGGCTGATCATGCAGCAAGCTCAAGCCGAGCCCTGCGTGCGGGTCGCCCACCAAGCAGCCACGCCGGTCGCTGGCAGCATCGACCCGCACGTAGGCAGCTGCCATGAAGGCATTGCTAATTCCAACGCATTCTCGCGATTGCGCTTGCCGCGTGCGCGTCTCGGTTGGCTCGTACTGGTCGTGGTGGTTGTAGATATTTTCTGCCGCAGTGAGACACGCCGAAGACATTGATCTCCGGCAGGGCCAGCACATCGTACGTCGGCAAGTAACGGAGAGACGCGACCACAGCTTTCCATCCGTTTGCAGCAGTTGCATGACAGCTCGAGCTTTCGTAGTGACTCATGACGGTGCCTTGCGCTTTTCTCGATATTTTGCGACAGCATAGTGCCGTCCAACATCTGCAACTCCCGCCACGCCGTATCAATCGTTGGGGTCGAGATGACAGCTGTCAAATGGTCATCCTCCATTATGCATAGCTGAATAATGCTGCTCGAAGGCGGGTAGGCGAGGTACAACGGCGTGGTGGGCGGGTCGTGAGCGGGGTACTTAGGCGACATGGCCATGGCCTGCGAGGGAGAGGCATCGAATTACGTCGCCGTAGGCATTGCATCCGCCGGGCAATGCCGTTCAGGTCGCGATGTTCAGCTCGAATGGAGTCGACGTTGGTTGGACGATCGACAGCCAACACCCAGGATGATCCACGACGCATGGAGGGGTCGTTCGATGCGCCCGAGACTGCAGTCCAAAGCCGGGCCCGGCCACTGTCGGGTGTGGCTCTGCCAATTCGAAGCATACGGCGTCGATTGCCTCGAGCAAAGGATTGCCGAAGATGCCGAAGACGGGAAAATCGGGCTCGAGGTCGATCTTTGCGACTGCGATTGCGACTGCGACGACGCGAAGGGGGGGATTGTCGAATAGGAAGAGAGACAAAGGAAGACGGAGAGGTGGACTTACTTTTGGGCGCCAACAAAAAGACTCTTTTTCCGGATAACCAGGAGAAACGGCGTGCGACTCGTAAGGGGAGGGGAAAGAGAAAGAGGGTATGGGGGGAGGATTACTGAAGAGTAATTTTTCTCTTGTGAAGATTTTTCGGGGGTTAAACGGCGAGGGGAAGAAACCGACAAGGAACTTGCGCGCAGAGATTTTTTTTTTCCGTAGCTGTGAGGGCCGTGGACGTGGATCTCGCTCAGTCAGTGGTGACGTGAGGCCGGTCAGGGTAGTAAAAAAGCAGTGGCAGAGGCACGACTTTTGCAACCAAGACAATCGCTGAAAAGGATGCTTCGTTTTTTGCAAAAACCGCAGCACAACGCAGAGCAGCAGACGAGAGATCAGGCAGACGACGCGCAGACAGGCAGAGAGACAGCAGCAAGAGGGCAGAGAGGTGCAACTCTAAAGGAAAAGGGGAAGAAAGGGAAGAATGATGGAAGTGGGATGGGGAGGAGGTAAGAGTAATGGAGAAAGAGGGAGGGAAAGCTAGAGAAGAAGACAGACCGGGTTCTGGCGATGGGCGCGGCGGCGCTCGCTGTGCAGGCAGGTACCTACTCTACTGGACAGGACTGGGCTGCACCTACCAGCACAGCACCGGGACTGGTCGTGGAGTGTGCGGATGGGGAAAGCCAAAGGGAAGGGGAAAGGGCCACACTACCTGCCCGCAGCAGCACAGGGAAAGTCCTAGGGAAGGCGCGACCTGAACTTTTTTAGGGGGGGCGTGTGATTCGTGACTTCTTACTTTTTGGATCTGGCACTGGCGTCGGGTAAGAAGGAGCAGACCCAGCCAGCCCAGGCAGGGCAGGCAGGCAGGTACTGGATGGAGTATGAGTGTGGTGGGTGGTGTGAGTCTGTTCGTTCACTGGTGTGGAAGGGAGGGAGAGACCTCCCAGACAAGGTAGGTAAGTAGGTAGGTATTCAGGTATTCGTACTTGCCCCCGGCTAGGAGGGCAGAAAGGTACCTGCCCTCCTTGCAGTGCGTTGAGGTTACTTCCTTCTTTTTAGAGATGCGTTGGTTACCTTACTTCCACGGCTGATATCCATTTCCCGTCTCATTCCTTCCTCACCTCAACTCTACATTGCAGGCAGTGTGCATCTCGTGAAGATGCAATAGAATCCTCACAGATATGCAGTTACAACAAATCACTGTCTCCAAGTTTCTACACTTTAAGCCCATTCCAAACGTACGCCGTATATGCTGACCAAGGTACCTCGAGGCAGAAGGTCCCGGTAAGGTACCTCGGATCAAATACACAGGCACACTCCGCGGCGACGGAGCCTCCAAGTGGGGCACATCGAGCGTACCTTACGTACATTTTGCCTGCTCGCCTTGCGCCGCGCCTTACCAGCTGTAGATAGCGCGCAGATGGCCATCCAAGAAAAGACGACAGAAAAGCATTAGAACCAAGATACGGCGCATCGAATGAGTGGGGCCCTGGTGGTGGACAGTGGATGTCGATGCCGTGCGTTCAGAGCGTCCGAGTCTGGGCGAACAGTGGCTGCGCCAGTCAAGAAACGAAACCAAACCGAGCAAGGCACGGCATCTTTAAAGGCCACGCCGGCAGACGACGGCCTGCAACCACGTCCAGCAGCCCAGGGCGGCTGACTGAGTGCCTGGGTCAGTCAGGTACGTGCGCCGACTCCAAGGACTGCTCAGTCACTTTTTTTTTTCTCTCCCTCCTTGTCACGGCCTCAGGCTTCCGAATCTTGGGGGAGCTCTGAGACAGATCTTCGGATAAGAAATGGACACACAGGATACGGGAACCGGTGGTCGACTTGCGAAGCACTGATCAGAGTCAAGCAAGTGCCAACGTCCGGTTAGTTCTCTGATGCGAGGCAGGCAGGCAACCCAGGTTAATGACAGGAAGATGCAGGCAGGTGCAGGAAAGCGCAGTCTTGGGAGCGGGTGAAAACGCAAGCCCGTCTGGTGGTACGAAGAGAAAGAGACGGTCTGCGGGTGTACCTCCCTCTCCAGGTGGTACCTGCCGCACATGTCCTTCCCGCAATTCTACGACTGCCGATTGGAAGATGACAGGCAGCTGCCAATGGAACCTGGAAGGAAGGAAGGGAGGGAGATGCATTTCGTGCATTTCGTGCATCTCGGGCCTGGCCTTGCTTTCCTTCCTTACTACCTGTCTAAGGTAGGTATTCTTGGAAATGGCCTCACTCACTCCCGTCCTCCCGTCCTCACTCGACAGGGCTCCTCAAAAGACGGACATGGGACACTACCTACCGACCCAGATGGCATGCCGATAGACCACAACCCAGCCAGCCGGCAGCAAGACAATTCCCGGGCATCAAAAGGTCAAAACAAAGCCGCTGTTGTCCGTCGGCGACAGTGCGCTCTTGGCGTGGCATGGAGCTGCTGTCCTGACAAGCATCACACACAGGTCACCCCCATGGATCCCGGCATCGTCTCCTCGCGTCCCCCGTCTGCCTGAAAACCTTGTTGCTGTCTCTTCTTATTGATTTTTTGTTGCTGCTGGCAGCTGTAGCTCAAGCTCTGGGCCTCTGGCTCCATACTACGCAGTGTTCTTGCTCCAATCCCCAACCATCAGCTCCGCAGGCGTGGATGCGGCGGCGGCCCATGATCATCACGGTCCAGCCTCCATTTTCTTGTCACCGCGCCCAAAAATGCAGAGGTTGTTGTGCATCGAAGCTCATTTCGCAGCAGCCCAAAGAGACGGTAGGGCATTTGAGGGTAGGGCAATCCTCCGGGCAGATCATACGGGGGCGGGAGAGACACGCTAACCAGAAAGTGCTGCTGCCCTGCCCTACTTATTCGTAGTTGCTCAGGTACCTCCTTATTATGTGCGAATACCAACTCACCTTATTACTTTCGCTGGTATTCGTTCGAATAAATCGACTCCTTCCCAACTCTGCCTGAGCTCGAGGGGTGGCTCCAGCGGCATATCCGGTACGTACCGATCTGAACGCGAAATGGCGTCACGGAAGGAGAGGGGGGAGGGGGCGTGCCCAAGGGGGAGGGGATCCTTCCCTGCAGCTGGGAGTCAGCCTATCGGCTCTTTCCTAAGGCACTGCACGGGAGGAAAGGTACGCACGCAGCTGCCACTCGCTTGGCTTCCTTTACTGAGAAGCTCCGAGGGGGCTCCAAATCACCACCTGCTCAGCTGATTGCCAACTCACGATACTGCTATGCGCACGCAACCCGCACTCGACATTGACGCTGTCGACACTGTCGAAGATGCATAGACTGCGTTATTAGCATCGACCAGCCGCCAGATCATTCATTTTCGCAGTTACTCATTCCCGTCGCATAGGCGATGCTCTTTCCCGTCAGACCGTCCTGCAACCCTGCGTCACATCCAATCCTCCAGGCCTCCCATCAACCCATCCTCAACCTCAACATCTGCACCTCTCGCCATCATTCCCTGCACTGCAAACCAGCTGCCTCATACGATGCTTGCTTTTACTTCGGGCGACACGATAACCCCTTCGCTATCTTCGCCGTATCCAGCTGTCAAGGGCCTCATCGGCCCGGCAATCCCAGTTGCGAACGCGGTCATTCTGGTCACCATTCCAGATGATGTCCATTGATCGGGTCCTTCCCGCTCACATGTCTCTCTCTAATCAAGCACCGGCTGCCGAACAACCACCACCAGAGATGGGATGGCGGGCACGCCAGGCGAAGACGGGCAACTTGCATTTGAGACACGGCCTCCTCTCATTTCTTTTTCCTGCCACTGGCCTCCTCCACGCGAACCCCTCGTGGACTCCGAAAAGCGTCGGCCAGCCTCCTGGTCCGTCTTGAGTTGAGCTTGTCCATCTCGAGGAATCGACGTCGAGTCGCCAGACGCAAGTGAAGGGTCATCCGTGTGACATGTCGTGCTATTAACCTTTGCTGCAGCTGCTATCAAACTCGTGCCTCGCTAGCCGATTGTGCGCGCACCACGTTTCGAAACGCCGCAACAGTGTCAACTCAACTCAAACAAGTCATGAGCACCACTCCCACGGTCCAGGTGTTTTCTCGCTTCATCTGTGCTGCCAACAAAACACCCGACTCACTTGCTACTGCAACTGCCGTGCACTCTCTCTTTTTCTCTCTCTACCATCATCCATGACCTCGTCTCCATCGTATCGGGGTCAGCGACACGCCCGAGGACAACGTGGCATCGACTTGCCTCGATGTCGGACCTCTCCTCCGCGGTTCTTTCCCCTGTCCCGCTCATCACCGACGAACCCGGAGCCGGTGGACGATGTCTGCCCGACGAGACAACCCTGACTACAGAAAAGACACGTCAATTCTTTCTCCCCTTCCTCCTTTTGAAAAGCCATGGCTTCCTTGCCCAGAGGAGCACGCTCGGATTGGCAACTGGTCCATAGCAGACGTCGATA